ACCAGTGTTGTTGCATATGCTGGGGTTTGCATGATGTATTTCTGCATCACTGCTGTTCATCTTGCAAAAATCCTTTTCAGTCCCAGCTGTTATTTTCAGGAACTGACAATAGGTTTCTGTAAATGAATCAAATTTATTCTGAACATGGACGTAGCCCTTCATCAAAAGACGATGAAAAGGCAAGAAATCCCAGCCTGTGTGGAAGCTGGCTCTTGTCAGCATGGAGAGATTTTAAGTGAGAGGGAGGAGGGAAAATAGCAAGAAAAAAGTTTCTGAAAATTCTTTCTTGGTTGCTCCGGTGTTCTGTGTGAGGGGATAGTGTAGCTCCGGGGTTTGGGAGGGGGTGATGGAAAAGGGAGTTAACCACTTATTGTAAGTGTAACTTGCTACCTTCACAGCAGTTCTCTGAAAGGCCACATTTTGGATACTTGCGGCAGTGGAGTCTGCTGGCAATATATAATTTGTTTGCTAAACAGGGAATGTAATTGAAATGTCCCTTTTGAGTTAATGAAAATATAAAACAGCTTTCCAGAGTAGACTGAGGCCTCTAATTTAATTATCTGTGAGCCTCATACATTAAAAGTGTTCTTTCATCCATTCCTGGCAGCCTGAAGTAGATGAATAACTGAAATTCAAAGAAAAATCTTATGAAAAGGAGACCTGGCAGATGAAGGAGCAAAGGGCCAAACTGTTTGTAAATGGATTTATCTCCACTGAGATGCCCATTGTCTTTATGGCAACTAATTATATGTGAAAACTATTAAAGATTTGGAAGCTGTGATACCCATTAAAGGGGCCAGGGATCCCCATCGCAGGAAAAACAAGCTGGCTCCTCTTTGGAGTATTGTTTGCTACGTATAAGAGGAGTTACTCTTTAAGGGTACATTGCAAGCAGTGGCCTTAGACACATGAGCAGTTGCCAGAAAACCAGCAAGAGCAGTTGTACAGGTAGCGTTGAGCTTGCTATGTCGTTATTTGCAGAGTCAGTCCTTCAGACCGCAGATCTGGCGCTAAAGCAAAGCCTGGAGCGATGCTGCCCTACTACAGCAAAGGCATCCAGAAGCAGCCAGAACTCAGGCACATCCTCAGTGCGGTAGGGTCTGGTGTGTCCTAATGCTGCGTGAGCCGTCTGCTTTCTGTGTTGAAGCACTTTTGCTCTTGTGTCAGCCAAGGGCTGATGGACAAGTCTCCACGTAGCTGCTGAAATATAGCAGCCATGCTTGCGCACTTTTTGTCCACCTTCACATTTACATCTGCTCCTGCTATGTGTGTTACGGCAGCACTTGCCACCTCAGCAGAGACTGCAGTGTCCACATGGAAATGCAGAGCATTTATACTGACTTTGCAGAAGAAGCCTGTGGTTGAGCAAGATGTGAACGCAGGACCCCTCTGGTGTCATCCCAGGCCCAGCCATCACATTGTTATACACAAAAAAATTGGGTTTCATCCCTGCCTTATATGGAATATTTTCTGAATTTGGAAAGGTAAACCAGAGAGGTGCATATGGGAAAAAGTGGGGTTTGCACTTCATGGGGTGAGTATATGAGGAGCAAAGAGGTTTGCGAGTAGCAAAAAGGATGCTTCACCACACTTGGGGTTTTTTTGTTCTAACATTTTTTACTTTGGAAAAGGGTTGAGTTTGAAAAGGTTTTTAGAGTGGATGGTGATTTTATTTGTCTGCAACACAGATCAATGCACTTTGAATTGTACGTGTGCAAGTGAGAACCTGAATGAAGAAACTGTAGCACAAGTGCCAGAATTCTGCAAAATTCTGGCTAAGAAGCTGGGCCTAACCATCGTCTAAAATGGTGCCTCTGAAACGTATCTCAAATGATACTTTAATTTACTCTTACAGAAGTATTTCATGTTATCTTTATGACATGTCAGATTTTAAAACCTTTAAAACTTGAACAAATCCTTCACTTGGCTGCCCATAAGCAGCATGGTTTTTGCTTTTGTTTTGTAATTTGCTATTATACTCATGCCTGGTATGACACTTGCTTGATCTGGATTAATTTCCCATGCTGATTTGTTCTGAATGTGCCCTGTAGGCTAATGGTATATTTGCAGCCTCTCTTCTTCCTTTGTAAAATTTGCTATTACCATTTACGGTACAGCGTGTTCTCTTTGACACCTTCCATAAGTGCCAACTGCCTGTCGAACAGCACGTCATAAGCTGTTAAAGCCTGATCCAAACCCCAACGAAATCAGGGAACAGTAATGCAATTCAAGGTTTTTAAGGAAAGGCAATGTCTTTTATTAGATCAGCTGTTACAGTTGGAAAAAAAACAGACAAGCTTTCAGGCACACAAATCCTTCTTCAGGTCTGAAATAGCAGCAGTATTGCTTACACCAGCATTCCTTAGCAGTGAGACAGCTATGGTCCCAGCAAGGTTTAAAAAATGTGATTAAAAGTGTATGTATTGCACGGCCCTTCTTACTGGAGAGGGCTTTCTGGCAGGACACAGGCAAAGGTTGTTCTCCTCTCTCCCCTTCCCAGTACACACCCTACAAACAGGGGATACATCCTACAAGGAGAGGTAGTATAAGGTCACTTGCACTTGAGAAAAAGTCTTCAGTACCTTATGACCGAGCCATATCTTCTCCGTAATCACCCTGCTATTGGGAAGGACTGAGGCAAAGCTGGAGGCTTTGCTGTGCAGGTGGTAACCGCAGCATCCACGCTGGAAATTCTGGCTCCTGATGTTCACGGCTGTCCAGCAAATAGCGGTGGGACCAGCTGGCAAAATGAGTTTTGCTCCCTTTCTTGTGGTTGCTTTACAGGGAACAGGTTTCCCAAAGTTTCTGGAGTCACAGTTGACTGACCTAATAACACCTAATAACAAAGCTTGTGATTGAAAATGCTACACAGGCAGGTCGGTTCTGCAGAAAAACTGTGAGTAGCTTCCCTTAGTCTTTGGATTGCTTGTGGTCACAGAATAGAAAAATAAGAAGTAACAGCCTAGTATGCTGCCTGCTTACTCCTCCAGATTATGGATCTGAACATCCTGCTTTTTCATCCTATGATAGACTTCATATTTATCTTCCTTTTTCTTTTCTGGAAATCTTCAAGAGTATATACTAAAATCTTTGAATTAAAGAACACAGACAAGTGCTCAAAAATTAAATGTTAACATTAACTGTTACATTTATTAAATGTTAACATTACCTGTAACATTTATTTCTATATTCCCATGCTAGGAACTGGGGTGTTAGCTGTAGTTAATAACTGTGGTATTAAGAAGGTGAGGATGCTTTTTGCTCGTGTGAATATTTCTGTGGTACATGGGCTGTGAGAACTCTGGATTTTGCATTCTTTCTGGAGTGTATTAATAGGTGTGTTAATTATGCGGCTTCTCTATTCAGCCGTATTTGAAAATGAAAGGTTGCATTTCAAGAAACTGTCACCACAAGAAAGTTGTAAGTAAGTATTGATGCTTCTGAAGAAATTAAAAGGATAAACCTTTTAAGAGTTTAAGTTGATGATTAACACACAGACATGAACAACCAATGAGCAAGTAATGCTGTAAACAGGAATATAATTATTGGAAAAGCTTAATTCAGAAGGAAAAATACCTTTTAAAAACGATGTAAGCCAAAAATCTTTGGTTTAAGTTTAAGATCTGCTTTGGGCATTGCTGTTCTAGTGCAAAGCTATCTTACAACTGTCTTGGAAGTCCTTAAAAGTTTAGAAATTTGTGGGACCCTTTCTTCATATAAAATACAAGTGTTTCAAATGCAGTTCTCAATCTGAATCCATCACTTAAGACACATCGTACTTAAGGATCTGAATCACCATTCCTGGCTGTGCCACTCTCAGCCTGGCCAACCTTTCATCCCATGTATGTGTTTCTCCACACAGTGATGGGCCCAGTGACACATGCCTGTGGCAAGTAGGCTGGCAAAACCATAGAACACCATAGACAACTGCTTCTCTTTCCTGGAGAAGGTTTTAATGGAGCAGTCATGTAGACAACCTGATTCTCTAGTGAATCTCAGAATTTGTTTCATTCCCTTTAGTACCCTGCCAAGGAGTTTGGGTTTGAAAGCGTGGCTGTGAGTGTACTACATAAAGTGGTTTCTTTTTCTTTATGTGCACCAAAAGGAAAATGATGAATTTGTCTGTGAAAGCCAAGAGCTTCATTCTCACTTGAAACTAAAACCGTTTCATATTCCTATATATTTTAAGACACTTCCATGCTGGCAGTGTAGAATAAGTAAAAACCAGGATCCCCATAATGGTAATTGTGTAGCCATGTGGACGACCACATGCCTAACCTGCAAAATACAATTCCACATCTGGATTTTGTAGCAGTAAAGGGCTCTGATGCCCCAGTTTTTAGACATCTTCTACAGATGGGTTTGAAATGTAGATGCAGATCCATCACTGAGTCAACCCCATGTTTAGACTGGATCTCTTTACAAATTGGCACTTGTAAAACTGTTGGGAAGGAAGAAGGGTATGAAGGAAGGAGAAGCAATGAAAACATGAACTGCTGAGGAAAAAAGCATCTGCTCCCAAACCACTATTTTTTACTACCTGACACTCTTTAATAGTGATGGTGTTGCAGCTTTTTTGAGTCGTGAAAATAGAAACAGCAGCAACAGTGTCCTGCACTCGGGTTAATGTGCCAGCTACACATGAATGGTGCACATTATAACTATAAATTTAAGGTCCTTTCATGCATACCACGCTAAATAACAGCCAGCTCTGTCTCAGTGTTCTCCCACTACTGCATTTATGGAGTAGCCTGTAGTAAGGGAAGGCTGCAAGGAGGGCTGGAAATGGTAGTGCTAATGAGAGCAGCAGATGTCATTGCACTTACTCCATTTCTGCTGCAGCTGGTTATAAATTCAGATGGGAGATGTCAAAAAGCCAAAGAAGTAAAACGCTCTTTTGTTCATTATCTTGCCCAGGACTCGCCATGTTCATATTGTCAGGCTTTCCATGATGGTAGCTTTATCTCTTGTTGTTTCACTGAGACTTTGCTCTTTTTCAGGTGCCAGGAGACAATGAGAAGCACTGGAAGCCAGTGTTAGTGGTCTTGACGGAGAAAGACCTCTTAATATATGAGAGCATGCCACGGATAAAGGAAGCTTGGTTCAGCCCTCTGCATACCTACCCCCTGCTAGCCACCAGGTACCTGTGCTTTTTTATTAAAACCACTTCAAGAGCAGTGGGAATGGCTGAGTCAGCCGGGAACACCTATAGCTGGTGCATAGTTATATATCACACTTGAAATGTCATGGTTTGAGAAGCAGATTCTTCTTCAATGGGCGGATGCACTCAGTTTAACTCCTCACTTCTCCGTTTCAAGTTCTGGCCGAGGCTGATGGCCAGAAGCACACCAGAAGGATTATGGTTGCGGCTGTTTGGCCTAGATCCAGAGGTGGGAGTGCTGAAAAAGCCAAGAGCTCTGTCTCCTGAGATTTCTATCTCAGTGTACAGACCTGAGAGCTTGGCAGAAGCACTTGGATTTCTAGCCACTCCTCCAGGCTGAAAAACGTGAAATTGCTGCCCTGAGTTAGATGTGCTGCTGTGGCAGTTTTCCACCACCGGTTTGGGGCTTTTGGGGGCTCGCACATGTGACAGAGACACTTAATTTCAGCACAGCTTCTGCTCCTGCTCTAGCAAATGAATTCCTGGCTTTTTTAGCTTAAAATGGTGAGCTTGGAAGACACATTCTTGAATCTAGGTTGGAAATCCGCATTATTTCAAAGGTATCCACCAACACTAATTCAGAGAGAGCTTTCCCATGGTTGTCTTTGTGCAGTTGAAACTCTGTTCTTCTTGATGTGAATCTTAATCACATTTCTTTGCCAGTATGGTCAAAGGGCTTGAGAAAGAGCTGCTGTTCCATTGTTTTGGCCTTGCTACAGGCCTCTTATTATACCATTTTCAATGAGTTCTCATTCAGAAGGGCTGGTAGCACATGGCCAAAAGCAGTGGGTCTCTTACTGCACTCTCATTAGTTAATTTTTGTTCTTGGTCTCTTAGTTCTCTCCCCAAATGAACAGAGGCTTTGCTGCTAAACCATTATATTAAAAAAAAAAAAAATTGAACTCGGTGAATTACGCTGATGGTTGTTTTGTCCCAGTCTACCTACCCGTGATGGAGCTTTCAGACTTCCTGGGAAGCTGGCTTCTGACTCATCCTTTGTTATGGTACATGAGGCGAGAGCCCCATGCTTTGCAGCTTGCAGCCTGCCGTGCATAATGGCGATGAAGGTTGACAATTCCAGGTGGCAATTCCTGATAAAAACTGGGTAAAGTGTTGGAGCCGTAGGCTGCGTCCAGGTGTGTCACTAAGGCCTTAGAGTTTGTGAAGCAAGAGCACCCCAGCAGAAGATGATGCGATTCCTCCCCAGTGCTTCGGGGTGTCATTTGTACATGGACCCAAGTCCTCCTCCCTACAGTGACTGGAGATCCTGCAGCACACCCTGCCCCTTCCTGCCCACATGTCATCACGTGTAAAGACAGCCCTTTGGTGGGCACCACCAGCCCCCATCAGTGATCACTGATATACCGCATCAAACAGTCTAAGTCCTCGTCTTGGAGGGTCTGTTACTTAATTACTTTTTCTCAGAAGTTCAGATTTGATAGCAGACTGGCTTGCCTTGGGTGGGGATAGTTATCTCCTTGTCCGATGGGATTCCCGTGTGAGCGGAGGAGTATCGGCCTTCGGGCTGGAGGAGAATGAGAAGTTGCTCGACACAGGTGTCAGGCTGCTGAAGGGTCTTTACAGACTGGGAAAATGGTCTGTAAGAAAGATGGGATGTGGTTCAGAAAGGACAAGCACAAAGTTCAGTACTGGGGAATAACCAGCTGCACTGGTTTGGGGTGGACAATGACTGACAAAGCAGTTACTCTGCCAGGAAGCATCTGGGCAGTGTGGTGAAATTGCTTAAATCTACGGTGTTATGTTGTTGAGAAAACAAAGACAATCATCTGGGGTTATAGCAGAAGTGTTGCGTGTTGGGCAGATGTAGTAATCTAATCTAACTACAGAGCATGAATAAAGCCTCAGGTGGTACACCACCTTCATATGAGGCATTGCACTTCCAAAAAGATGCCAGTTAACTGTGGAAAGTCTAGAAGAAAGCAATGCAAATTTAGAAAACACTATCAGTAGGGGAATACTTGAGAAACCTTAGTTGTTTAATCTAGAGAAGTCCATGGAAAACATGTCAATAGTTTTCAAGTATGAAGATGAGACACAAGGAGGACAGGAGAGCACGTTCCCTGCTGGGACGTAGTTGGCTGCATTTGTGGCTGGGGGGGTTCGGGGTAGGTCCTTGGAAGCACTTGGTGTGCGTGTCAGGTACTGATTAGATTCTCTAGGAAGGGTGTACGATCCTCATCACCGGGTACTTTGAAGGACAGGTGACACTGTAACCCTCAGGAGTGTGTCGGCACAGTTAGCCCTGCTCTGGGAAGGGAGATGCGCTAGGTGACCTCCTGAGAAGCATTCCAGCCCCATCTCTGTGATTTCTTACTAGTATCGCTGTGACTTTAACACTCAGATAAAAAGACAGCAGATACACCAAACTTGACATTCAGAATGGAGTCGCAATCTGATAAATACATACAAATACATGAATCCCCAAGGTGAGCAGATTATATAAACTGACAGATTCCTTAAATCATTACACCTACTGTTTTGGATGATTTTGATTAAAACCCTGCAGGATTCTGCTTTTATGATCTGTCACACTGAGTACAGTTATACCAAAAAAATACACAGGGTTTGCTGTTGGTATTGACTGCTGTGTTCATGCTCAGTCAGTGATTACCCTCCTCGTGATGGGTTTTTTAATCTCCTGTGTGCATTGATCAGTGCAATTTAGAACTTTTCACCTGGAAAGTTTGCAAACCACATGTTGTAATCTTGGCTGCTCCCATCTTTCAGATTTTTATGATTCCTTGGGAAAAATTTTTGCTTAGCTAATGCATATTTGAAAAGCTGCTGAAACTGGAAAACTTCAGTGCCAGATACTGTACAGAGTCATGCTTAATCTACCCAAGACATAATAAGCAGAGAAAATTTGAAAGCAGTAGAAGGATTACAATCTTCCTACAGTATTTTAACAGCAGAATTTCAACATGCCCTTTCTGTTTGTTGATAAGTTTGCCTTCAACCTATGGATGTTATTAAGACCTAAAAATATTTCCCACTCAGTCTTTCCCAGCTTTGTGCGGAATATAAGTAATAGCTCAAATAAAACTGAGATCAGGAGATTTAAGTTGTTCCTTTAAATCTCTGCACCGGGAGGCACAGCAGCTGGCTCGTAGCCCTGACTCCAAGGACCTTTTTGTCATATTCTCTGTTTCAGTGTTTCCTTATGCCTGAATAACAGTGCCTCCCTCTAGCATGGGAATGGGGCTTAAATAATTACATCTTAAATGTTTGCAATCAAATGGCGTTATCTATCACAGCCAGATATGAAATGAAAAAAAAAAACATCCCAGTTGGACTCTGATTAAAGATCAGGTAAGTAGCTTTTGTGCGAAGCTGAGGTCTGTAACCAGAAAGTATTAAAGCAGTTTGATAGTAAATGCCATGGGAAGTTGGAAAAAGAGCTGGCATCGATTAGTCATCTGTGCAAGCAGAGGGAGGGGCAGATGGGGAGCACTGGGGTCCCTGAGCACCCCAGGGAAGGTATATGAAGTGTCGTGCAAGCGGTGCAAGTTCTCCGCTCAGTGAGGGTGGTTGTGGCTCCCTCCATGCGGAGCTCGGATGAATGAGGGCTGTGCGTAGGTTTCCAAAGAGTACAGCCATTCCAGAGCAGGTTTCAAATGCTAAGTCAGGGATAAGGAGTGGCTTCAACATCAGCAAGGTTAGATGATAGTGGCTTTCTACTGGGCAGAGCTGCATGACTGTTGATGCACTTGTATCATGGCCTCTTCTGAGATAAATCTCAAATGAGCAGCTGCACACTTGCTTTGAATGTCAGTACTGGTTTCACTGCCCTTTTTGAAGAGGCCATTGGATTTTGCTGTTGCAGTAAATGGTTGAAACTCTTTTCATAGCATTAGAATGAAAAGCAGGTCCCAGTGAGTCTCACCCAGCACCAGCACTTCACGTTGGACTGTACCCATCTTGCTATCACACATTTGCAAAGAATAATGCTAAAAAGGTCCCCAAAGCAGAGAGAGACAAGGGAGAAATTAGAGAAGATTAGAAGTGTCTCCCTGGCTCCCTGGAGCATGCCAAGAGTTGCATTTTACAGCCGCTGCCTGCTATCTACATGCTGTGCAGACAGACTTGATCGTGACCAACCTTCTCCTGCCCTCTTGCGGCTCTGGCTGCTCCAGGGAGGCAGGCTCTGGCTCCTGCACGCTCACAGACACCTCAGAAACCTCCAATAACCTTCAGGAATTGCAATTGAGTATTACCAGAGCGGGCCCTGGGCTGCCTTTTCGGTTCTGGCGTGCAGCGTGCACCACATACACAACCTCTGCTGCAGTCGAGCAACAGAAGGCGGGGGCGAAGGGAAGCCACCTGTGAAGTTTCTAAGACTATTTTTTGCTTTTTAAGGTATTTTTGTGGTCTTTAGGATAGCAACTTTATATTAAAGCTTGGGAGTCTTTTGACCTGCACCCAAATACTGACAGCTGATAGATAAATACTATCAAATGTCCCCCTGCATATTTGTCTAGTTCATGTTTAACTGCATGATTTTCCAAAGCACAATCTGGAATTGTATGATAGAAAAGGATTTTTAAATAGTGAGACTGAATTTTTAATAATGAGGGGATAATGCAAATGAGAAGGCAGGCAAGAAACAATGTTCATGTTGGATGTGTCCACGTACTTGAATTTGTAAAGTACATCTTCATTCTATCCATGTGCTGAAAAACCTACAATGCCAGTGCTATGGATAAAGCATGAAGATGTAGGGGAGCGGGGGGGTGGATTTGAAAGGAAATAGAACATTGGAACCATCTGTCTGTCACATATTCAGTATCACAAGTACTAGAAAACAATTTTTAGCACAGCTGATGAGCACTGTATAAAAGAGAAGGGATGACCCAGGGAGAAGCTGGGATAGTTTTATTTTTAATGACAAACTTGATGTGATTTTCCAGGCTGCTTTCCCACAGCTGTCCATCATCCCCCCCTGGTAGCAGAAGGCAGTGTGAGAGCAGCGCCCCTGCATGCGCCTGAGTGACTTCTTCAGCTTCTCCTCAGAGTTTGCACCTCCTCACGCCAAATCAAAGTGAATAAAAAGTTTTTGGGCTGTTTGTTTGCTGCTGACTCCCCAACTGCAAAATCTGCCCGGGGTGCAGTTAGAATCATAGAATCATTTAGGTTGGAAAGGACCTTTAAGATCATCGAGCCCAACCATTAACCTAACACTGCCAAGTATACCACTAAACCATGTCCCTAGGCACCACATCTACATGTCTTTTAAATACTACCAGGGATGGTGACTCAACCACTTCCCTGGGCAGCCTGTTCTAAGGCTTGACAGCCCCTTCAGTGAAGAAATTTTTCCTCATATCCAATCTAAACCTCCCCTGGTGCAACTTCAGGCCATTTCCTCTCGTCCTATCGCTGGTTACTTGGCAGAAGAGACCAACCCCCACCTCGCTACAACCTCCTTTCAGGTAGTTGTAGAGCGCGATGAGGTCTCCCCTCAGCCTCCTCTTCTCCAGGCTAAACAGTCCCAGTTCCCTCAGCCGCTCCTCATAAGACTTGTTCTCTAGACCCTTCACCAGCTTCGTTGCCCTTCTCTGGACACGCTCCAGCACCTCAATGTCCTTCTTGTAGCGAGGCGCCCAAAACTGAACACAGGATTCGAGGTGCGGCCTCACCAGGGCCGAGTACAGGGGCACGATCACCTCCCTACTCCTGCTGGCCACACTAGTTCTGATACAAAAGACCCTGAGTATCAAAGCTGAGCGGGGCGTTAACACAGCCCTTCTGAAGGCAAAAAAAAGCATTTGGAGAGGGTGGTGGTGCCTCTCTGGAAGACGCTTTCCTGCCCAGACATAGGGCAGGGCAGCTCTGCCTGGGATACTCTGTCCCTTGCCTTCTGGGACCTCCTGGGACCATGAAATCAAGGTGGATGCTCAAAATCCAAAGGAAGTTACCACGAACCTGAGCATGAACAAATCTTGCAAACCTTCTAGCAGGGTATGAAAGAGGGATGCATCTGTTCGGCACAATGTGCATCCCAAATGTCAGCACAGACTGCCAGGGAATTGGGGAAGATTTCAGATGCCCCATGGTTAGTGCTTCAATAACTGAAAAGCTAAAGTTGTGCTTTTTCTTTCCTTTCTGCTTTTTTTTTCCTATTAAAACATCTCTGTTTGATGGCATACTTCTACAGTGTCAGCTAACAGGCAACTATTCTTCCAGATGCAAAACAATAATTTGAGGGTGAATTAGCATTCAGTAGATGATTAGTATAATCTAATGTTTTATGCTTCAGCACAAGTATTCTACTACCATGCTACATACTTACTTTATAGTCTCATATGAAGTATACTGTTTGCCTATAGAAAGGGAAACAGGAGACACAAGACAGAAGAATTTCCGTGGTTTTATTTTGTGACTCCCTCGGAGGGTTAGTGCCTGGGTCTCAGAGTGACGAACTCCTCTGGATTATTATTTTCGTCTGAATCAGTGTCATGTCCCTGAGCGAATCCTGTATTCACTGTCCATACTTCTGCAGGAAAAAAACCCAAAAGGACAGTCTTACAGAAGAATTAAATATTATGAGGTGTTGATTTTCTCACTCAAAAATATTCCCTGCAATTAGTGTGTGCCCAGATGAACAAACCTTTCCTGGCCATAGGAGATCAGCTGTTGATGCCAGGCAAAAAAATGTTAATTGCAGCAAGATGTGAGAGAATTTCAGATTACAAGTAACTGCAGCATTTTGTGGTTTGCAGGTTCCTTATGGGAAAAGTATGCACAAGACAGTACTTTGGCATCTGCGTATTTTACAGAACTTCTTACTTTATCCGACAGCATTTATCATTGAATTTGTCTGCAGATATTTAAGCTGCAGCCTGACAGTGAGAGTTGGATTAAGCTGCCTCATCTGAGCGAGCACTTGTATGTGTGCACCAAACCCCATCACCACAGACCAGTCAGTGATTTCTCTCGGTTCCTCAGCCAAAGGGTGTTTTCTACAATTCGTCAGGAATTTAGGGCCCTCTGGGATATCCCCATCATCACCTGCATGTCTGGCTGCTTCAGTACTCACTGCTTTGGACCTTCACTCTTCTGTGTGTCACTAGGAGTCACATTAGGCTCAAACACATAGGAGACGCAAGTTCGCATGCTCCCAACCACATGCATTTAAGAACGTTCAGAGCAGAGCTGTGCTCAGGTCGGGATTTTGGCACAGTGCGCTGTGTCAGCATTATAATTCCCTGATGTGTTTTCAACTCTAATTGCAGGTTGGTCCATTCTGGCCCAGGAAAAGGCTCACCACAGTCAGGGGTGGATCTGTCTTTTGCAACCCGTACCGGTACAAGGCAAGGGATTGAAACCCATTTGTTCAGGACGGAGACTAGCCGAGACCTCTCACTGTGGACGAGGAGCGTAGTGCAGGGCTGCCACAATTCTGCGGAGCTCATCTCGGAAATTACCACATGTGAGTAACACCTGCAGCACCACAACTCCACACCTCCTTGTGACACCCGTGGGTAGTTCAAGCTCCTTCTGCTAGAGGTGATTCATTTAAAAAAATGTGCGTATTTAGGGTTCTATGTGTTTAAAATACTGTCCCTTGGTTTCTGAGCCAGTCCCAACTGGTGTGGTACCTGTGGTCAGTGACACAGTCACTGTCATTCTGACTTTCGGTCTTGTTTTTGGCATGTTGTTTCAGACAGACACAAGTCCATAGTCAGCCATATAGGGCTGCATGTCACGGAGGAGTGATCATCAGAGGTTTGTCCAGAAACCCACAGAAAAGAGCATTTTTCTGAGATTCAGGAGACTCCTGAGAGCCTGGTGGGAGTTTCTCCTGCAGAGGGAGGAGGCAGAGGACCGGCACATTCAGAAGTGTGATTCAGAAGCGGTCATTTATTCACCCAGCTCTGCACACTTGAGAAGAGTGAAAAAATACAAACCAGTCCAATAGCCACATTTCGACAGCTAGTCATTTCCCTCCCTGAACATCAGGGTGTCGCTTCTCAGCACTTCTGTACATGCAAAATCAACTGGAATAAAAGTAATCGGCTGCAGATGCTCTGGAGTGATGCCCCATTTGGCCAGGTAGCTGCTAGCCTGGGGTGGCTCTGGGGCTTTGAGGCTATGCCTTTCTCTTGAGTGCTCCCAGGATTTGGGAGTCCTTCCCCCACTAGCTCCCCAGTTGACAGGGCTGTTAAAGTTGAACATTATCTCCACTCGTTGCTTAAAAATGTGAGAGCAAGAGCCAAAGCACAAATCTGCTCCATGACAAAGGGCAGCTCCGATTTGTGAAGCTGTCAGGTACAGCCATGTGCTGCTGAGCACAGGGACGCCTGCCCGTAGGCTGCCAGGCCCCGTGCCTCACAGGGAGCTCCGGCTGCTTTGCAAGGGCCTCTGATGTGGAAACCAACCAGAGCGTTCAGTGGGAACCACCTCAAGGGCATGTCCATCTCCTCAGCCCAGTGACATGGATGCCTTTCTTTTCAAAAGCAGGAGGAGGGCATCAGCCCCTTCTTTAATCACGGTGCTTTTATCCCAGTGCGAAGGACCCTTCTTGGCAGAACTGTTCACAGGAAAGTGGTGGAAAAGAGAATTTGGGATGTGAACACCTAAACTCTTCATTTTTTAATTTGGATCATGGCCTATGTTTCTGAGCTGAGGGGAAGATGCAGACTTTCTGCTGCAGTAGCTATTGATACAATTATCTGGGCCCTTTTTCAATTACTGCGATACTAATGAGGACTCAGGAGTGTCTTCATCTTTGTCAAAATACTTTAGGGAAACCCTTTACGGCTTCTAATTTTCTTGTGCGGTGTGCGCTGCATTTATTGATTTTGGCTATGTCTGTCAGACGTAAGAAGAAGAGTAGCTGTGACTTTGTCAAGGTTTGGAAGGAGGAAATGCCAGCCTGAGCCGCCTTAAACTTCAGTAGATTGTGTCAGCATGTAAAGAATCATAGAATAGAATCATAGAAT